TTTATCCGTGGGCAGCAGAGGACGTTGCGTCCCTCTGCTGCCCGCTCTCCCCTCTCCGATGATGCAGTCCCATGCACGATCCAATGTGTAGACCCCATCGTCTCTGTTCATGGTCCCACATCCACGTCTCCTTATCTCTATAGCTTCTTTTATCCATCTTTTGTATTTCTGCTGTTCGGTGTTTATGATCCTTGTGTTGTCCCAGTCCATGATATGGTTTTCTCTTGTGCAGTGATCTGTTACGGCTGACTTCTTTATTGTGCTTTCTGCTTCTTGTTTTGCTGCTCTTGTGTGTTTTCGACTTGTTTCTTTCTCACACTCCTTTCTATGTTCTATTGTTCGTGTGTTGAGTTGGCGTCCGGTTTCTCCTATGTGTGTTTTATTGCAGAGTTTGCATGGGATTTCATAAACGACTCCATATTTATGCCCAGCTGGTATCTTGTCTTTTGGGTGTACTAGTCTGTTTCTAAACTGTTGTGTATGGTTTTGTTGGTGTGTTTATGTTGTGTTTTTTCATTGTTGCTCTTATTTTTTTTATGTTATGCCTTTGATGTATGGTAGGGTTATCACTGGTTTTGGTTCTTGTCTTTCTGGGTTTCTGGTTCTTTGCTTTGGTTGTTCTTTTCTCTCTGTTGTTGTTTGTTGTTTTCCTTTGTTTATTGCCCATGTCGGGTATCCGCAGGTCTTTAAAGCATGTTGTATGTGTTTGTCCTCTTGTTTACGGTCTCTTTCTTCAGTTATCATGTTTGCTCGGTGATATAATGTTCTGATTACTGACATTTTGTGTATGTTGGGGTGTTCTGATGTTATAACAGATATTGGTCTGTGTGTGTTGGTTTCCTATATGCGTTTATGTTGAGGGTCCCGTCGGTCTGCCTGCTTATTTTCATGTCCATAAATGCTATGCTGCCATCTGTTTCTGACTCATATGTGAACTTTATGCTGCCTGTGTCGTCAATGGTATTCAAGTGTTATGTTAGTGTTTCTGTTTGGCCTTTTGGTATGATTTCCAGTATGTCGTCTACGTAGCGTTTCCATAGGTTTATTTAGCAGTTGGGGGGGGGGGGGGGGGGGGGGGGGGGGGCTATGGCTTTCTGTTCCAGGTCCTCCATGAAAAACTCACACAGGGTGGCTGATAACGGGTTACATGGCGAAGCCTTCCAGTTGTTTGTATATTGTGTCATTCTATGTGAAGTAAGTGGCGTTAGCTACCAGTCCTATCAGTTGTGCTATGTCGTCTGCTGTGAGTTTGTTCTGTTGTGTAAAGTCTTGTCCTGTCTGATTCTGTTAACTACTATGTCTATGGTTTTTTGGGTTGGTGTTTTTGTGAACAGAGATGTGACGTCATGTGAGATGAGTATGTCGTTGTCTTCTATTGTAATCTCCTTTAGTTCTTTTGCCAGTTCTATACTATTTTTGCAGTGTTGATCTGTGTTGCCTAATAACGGGCTGATGATTTTGCTGATTTCTTTTGCCATGTTGTATGTTGGTGTACATATGTTGTCTACTATTGGTCTAAGTGGTATTTTGTTTGTGTATTTTTGGAGTTCCATAGCTTCTTGGTATTATGTTTGCTGTAGGAATCCATATAATTGACTGGGACAACACAAGGATCATAAACACCGATCAACAGAAATACAAAAAATGGATAAAAGAAGCTATAGAGAAAAGGAGACGTGGATGTGGGACCATGAACAGTAGAGCTGAGGAAAATAATCAAATAATCGATGCATCGGGATGCGGACATAAACGATTCTGCATCGTAAAAGACTACGCCATAATCGATTATAGTGGAATGTAGTTTTGTTTTTTAACGGCAGCACCAGCGCTGCATCCAAATCTATCAGAGTGAGCGTCCTCCACATTTACCAAGTGGTTCCGCCTTAATGTGGTACTGCAGGGCTGAGCCTAGAGTTGTAACCCGAGACTGAACCGGAACCGAATCAGCCCGACCGGTTCTGTTGGATTTGGGCCGTGAATTAAGTTAATTGAGCGGGTTGTCATGCGGCGCGCTCCGCTCGCTCAATCAGCGACAGGGAGAGAGAGAGAGACTGTCTGCTCACACAAGAGAGAGGATCGGAGGACGCTCCTCCAAACCGATGCTCCAAACGCGTTATTTTCATAATTTAATTATTATTTCTCCTGGAAGCGCTCAGTCAGACTGCTTGTTGTAATGTAGGGAGATCCGGTCTTGGGGAGGGGGCGGGGTCAATGACGGCAGCTGCAGCGTGATCATCTGTCTCTTCTATTTAGGGACACAGAGAAATTAAAATGAGAGAGAAATAGAAGATAGAAGTTTTTGTTCCACTTTATTCTTTTGTTTCATGATGATAAACTGATGTTAAATTCAGCTTAAAGAGAAACTGGGAGGAAGCTTTGGTTCATTTTAAGTTACAGGAGATCTTGTCTCCTATCTGCTCCTCCAGAGACAGCATGGACATGAGGGTTACATGGTGAGGGTCACACAGGACAGGTTAGTGAAGGTTTGTAGTTTGCTGGTTAGTGAAGCTGATCCATCAGCTGGGTAATTTAATCCTAATCCAGCCCACAGCCTTCTGCTGGTGTTATTATCAGAAAGAATAAAACACACATCTTAAATATTATTGGAAGTGTAGAATTTGTTTTGTGTTTTATTATTTTCTGCATCAAACAGAACTTGATTCATTCTCCAACATTTCAGAAATGAACCACTGGGTTCAAATAAAATAAACTAAGTCAAACATTTCATTTGGTGTTATTTCTGACACCCTTCAACTGTGGCATAAATATTTGACTCTAGAGCTGCTCAGAGACATTAAACACTCACATATGAAGCCATTATGTATTTTATTATTACATTATGTGTCCTGTAGGTTTTCAGTACTTTTTTACATTTTGTGAGTTTTTGCAAAGCGTGTTTTTCTCAGCCTGAGGCGTGGTGTTGAACGAGGAAACAGATTGTTTTACTTTGTTAAATCTTCTTAAATGTTTAAAATGTTTTGTCCTAACCTGTTGTGAATGGAGAGCTTTTGAGGGCTGGCAGGTTGTGTCACTTACGTTTTAGATAAAAAAAATAAAAAGCAATTATCTGACATCTTCTATTTATCGATGAAAACAAATCAATATAAAATAATCGTGATGCATCGGGATATCGAATCGAATTGAATCGTTGACCCAATAATCGTAATCGAATCGAATCGGGAGACAGGTGAAGATTCACACCTCTAATGAACAGGGACGATGGGGTCACCTCATTGGATCGTGCATGGGACTGCATCATCGGAGGGGAGAGCGTGCAGCAGAGGGCGACAACGTCCTCTGCTGCCCACGGAGTAGGAAGTGACGCCACCATCAGCGTCAGCTCTGAGGATGTTTTGCAGTCGGCAAACGAAACATTAGCAAGGTAAAGAAAAACCTTTTTTGTGTTTTAAAAAGAACCCAAAATGGAATTAGAAACTAGACACAGTAAGAACACACCAAAGATGTTTAAAGATGAATTTCTCCTTTATTGTCCTCCACCTCTTCATGCAGGTGTCACCTCTGAACCCACCATAATTTACGTCCACCAATAAAACACTGGTTGGGTATCTTTGTAGTCCTTTCAGTCACTGATAAATAAACATTGATATTTTTAAACTTTTTCCACGATGCGTTTTTCAGTCTGCTCTAAATATCTTTTTACTTTTTAATGGGGCAATGGTGGTGCTGTTGACAAATTTAAAGGAAGCTGCATTCTGACAATGTAAACTTTCAACAAATGGTTAAAAACTTTTGCATGTTGAAGTGTGAGTTGTTCCAAGATTCACATCCCTAATGGAAACATCAAACTGGAGAAGTGCAAAGAGCTCAGAGATGTGTGACAACTGCAGTGCCTGTGGTCATTGGAGCACTCGCGGTAGTGACCCCCACTCTGGACAAGTGGCTCCAACAAATAAATATATGATCTGCAAAGCTATAATACAGCTACACCAGGACATCCTGACCATAAAAGTTCTGAACAGAACGTGATAACAACGTAACTTCTGTAAGGTTCATGTTCAGCCAATCAACTACTTTGATGTCATCGGCAGTCGACGGACCCCGAGCCGATCTTGCACCCGAGCAGATCCTGTACAGACACCAGTGTGTGTGTGTGTGTGTGTGTGTGTTTAAGTGTGTAAGCCCTTTTGAGTTAAGGCGCTACACAAGTGCAGGCCATTTGTCGTTCTCTAAAGCCTGATTCATGCTTCTCCGTCTGCGTCAGTGCGGAGACACGCAACGTTCTTGCGGGCCTGCCGGAGAGCTCCGTAAGGAGTCGAGCTCTCTTTTCTAAACATCGTCAGTCGAGACGGACAACGCAAGCTTGTGATTGGTCAGGACGCCGCTGTTGTTTACAGCGCCGCCATTGCGCCCTCAAAAACATAAAGAGAGGAGAGGATAACTAGCGGCAGACACGGAGAAGCTTGAAGAATACCTCGCGAAAAAACTCTAAAAATATGAACGTTTAATTCCCCGTGACTGGAGGAGTGAAAAGATGCACAGCAAGAGTTTTATTTGTGAACGGAAATAACAGGAAACGTGGGTTTAGAGGTGGGGAGCGCATGAAGAGGTGGAGGAGGATGACAGACAAATATGTCCGTGTTAAAAAGTCTCTTATATACACAAAAAACACAATATCAACACACTATCTTGGACCGATACATGACAGGATACCACAGAACAGCGCTACGCCCTCTGTTGTCCTGCCGGGGAATTGCTTTGCAACACTCTCCAGGAGACGAAGAAGCATGAGAGCAAAATGTATGGGATTAGATTTGTGCCAATAGGATCAAGAAAAACACTTTGGAGAGCAAACAAATTTTAAGACATTGAGAGAAAAAACCTTGGTTTCAAAAGAAAAACTTAAGATCTGAATCAGATTCTTAAAATGATCAAGAAAAACACTTCGACGGTCAAACAAAAATTAAGAAATTGACAGAACAAAAATATTGACTGAAGGAAAAAAACATATTTCAAAAGTAAAACTTACTATCTGAATCAACTTCTTAAAATGAGTAACAAAGTATGTTTCCTTTTTCTGTTTGCCTCTATGTGTTTTTGTTATCAATTTCCTTAGTTTTGTTCTCGCTGCTCAGAGCTTTGCTCTCACTTCCAGATTTGCACTTACACTGTCTGGCTTTCTCCTTTGCAATCCCTGAGTTTTTGGTTGCAATTCTGACACAACCCTTTCGGGTGGGCGGGACTTCTGAGAAGTCCTCTCCCATAGGACAGTGGTTTCTCTTGAGTGACAGTTCAGTGACCTGGAAGTGATGTAGCCTCCAAGACATTTTTTTCCCACCTGGTCAACAACATGAATTTTGAGCCCCAAACAGGTTATTTCTGCTGTCTGTGGTGTCTACTGAGGATCTAAAGTGAGTATTGATAATATATTTTATCTTTTCTTAGTTCATCTGTAAGTTAAGCCACTTTTTAAGTTGGTTTTAACCAGATGCTAGCTCAGTAGCTGGCTGCTAAGCAAGCCATTGTGCTAGCCTCAGGACAATGGACTATTGTTCCAGAGAGACGTATTAAAAACTCATCTTAACATATTCATTACTGGTTTCATGGAATTAATTATTGCAGTTTATGTTAATAAGTTTGCTAATTTTTCAGGAACCTGTGGAACATCAGAGACTTTGCAGCTACTGGAGCTAACCTGTGTACTGCTAACTTGCTACAGAGGAAGCAGCAGAAAGCTGAGCTAACAGGCTGTTTTGCAGGTAAATACTCTTTTAGTGGAACTGCAGGATTTTTATGGTATAACTCAGACAGAATCTACATGAGCTATTGTGGGAAGACATTTAAACTACATTTACATACAGATACATGTATTTTTTTATTCCATGTTACTTGGACGGGCTAAACAAGTTCATAGTTCTGCCTGCTCCTTTTTCAGTGAAACGAATGGATTTTATGATGTAACTCTAGTAAATCTATAGTAACCATAGTCTGGTGACTAGTGTCTAGTTTAGCTACATGTAGCTTAGCTGGAGTAATGTAGTCTAACTCTGCCTCAACTGGTGACTTTTTTACTTCATTGTCAGCCAGACAAAATGTTGCTACAGAGAAACGCCCAAGGTACTGACCCCACAATAGAAAATCATAATGTCCACATTTATTTCCCACTATCTCAAACGTCACACTAAAATTAAACTTTTAGCTCTGATTTAATTATTTCCTTATTGATATCAGTTTTCCCTTTGTTGTAGGTAATCCTCAGGTGTCAGCAGGAGGAGGTGACTACCTGCACAACGGAGCACCCTGGTTCTGAGCCAGTTGCACCTTTGTGCAGCTCTTTGGGGAGACGATGCTCAGCAGGTTAAACAACTGTAAAATTGATTTTGTTCGTAGTTTTTGTTTAATCTCTTACATCACCAGTTTTTCTTTCTTACAGACACATGCCTCCATGTGGTCAGGTGGTGTTGGTGTGATCTGGGAGGGCACACTCATGTCGTCATCTCCTTGTGCCGTCTCCAGGATCCTGATGGGAGTTCTCTGTGCCTATAAAGCAGGAGTATTTACTTCTGGGCCTGGAGGGCCGGTATCCAGCACGTTTTAGTTTTAACTCTGTTTCAATACACCTGATTTCAGTCAGCAGATAATTAACAGGCTTCTGCAGAGCTGCTGCACAGGTAATTCAACCACTGATTCAAGTGTGTTGGAGCAGGGAAACAACTAAAACGTGCTGGATACCAGCCATCCAGGACTAGAATTGAATACCCCTGCTATAAAGCCTTCCTCCCTCCTCCGGACTTTAAACATTAGTGTTTTATTATGGTTTACCTGATTTAGTAAATAAATCTCAATTTATAAATTTCCTGTTTTGGTGCCTGTCCGTAAAATCCTGCATTAGACACCGAAAGCTGAATGGATGCCTTTCATTCACTTTGACATTCAATGTATTTTTAAAGATACACTTGAAATTAATATCAGCTGTTTAACAGAGTGGTGCAAAGTAATTGCTGATGTCATGATTTTTGCAACAACCTGACCTTCATGCAGAGAAACTCAGGAGACAAATGAGCTAAAAACAGTTTATTAAAATGTTTGACGGATGACTGAAGAGGTAACAGCTGGAGATCAGGAACCAGACGCTTCTGCGAGGAAGAGCAGAGGTTAGTAAGAGTCAACAGGTCAGGTTTATCTTAGACTGTGCAGGTAGCTTACAGAGTCTGAGAAACGCCACAGAGATGGAGCCACAGGTTTTAGTGTTTAAAGATCAGAAGGCCCTGAGGTAAAATTGAGTGTTAGTAATGACTAAAGAATGACTTACAAAAGGAAAAGTTTAGGTACTTACGGTCTGAAATTGTAGCGCAGACGGGAGACAGCAGAATGGTGGAGAAACAACCAGAAGTCTGGGAGAATGACAGCATGAGTAGCAAGCGGGTGAGCAGAAGGTAGTGGGTAAGCCGACTGCCAGTATGGTTGTGTGATCAGGAGCTTCAAGGAAAGAATTCCCATAGATCTGCATAGAACATGAGAACGTAAGTTTGAAAAACGGCAGAGTCATGGGCTAGATATGGGTTAAAACACTCTGATGGATGACCAGCTACCAGCTTTTATTCAAGGATGGGGTTACAGGTGTGTGAGGATGTGCCTGCCCCATGAGAAGAGTTTTCAGGTAAGCCTCTCCATGGTGCTCTGCAATGGTGACTAGCAAGGCTAATGAAGAGATTAAAGGGAACACAAACCCAGGACTCCGACCCAAACTCCTAACAGCAACACAACGACTCCTCCCACAGGCGGTTGTTCCACTGAGCACGCAGCTGCCCGAAGTTCAGCATCAGGTAACCTGTAGGCGATGTAATCATACGTGGCTTCTGAGCATGCAAGTTTATTCTAGCTGTACAGCGTACAATAATAATAAAGATTTATATTGTGTTGTGTTGCTCACCTTACAGGTTCTTTTAAAATCTTATCCTGTGCCTGCTTACAGCAGGTCTTTCAGGTCTTTTGAACTAGACACAGAGAGGTTCAGGCACAGGTACTTAGTCAGACTCCTGATATGATAGAGCATCCACCACCACGGACTCGAACAATAGGTCCATATGCTTGTCAGCTGGAAACAATGGAAAAAGATTACCATTAGTACAGATATTTATCCATAACCATCACTGTGGGTTTATTATACAGCATATGAACTACATGAGGTGGGATTGGTCTGCAGTAGGGATGTGTATTTTTGACAGAATTTATTGTTGGAATATTCAATAAACAGTCCAAACTGATACTTAACATATATAACATGAGTTTCTGAACCATAATAGCGAGATTTAAATTTCAATGGTGGAAACAAAACCCAATGCACACTGCTGCCAACTAGCGGGCCACATTTAAAATGCACCAAAAACAAAGAAAATACACAAATGTTTGCATGTAAATTCTTCCAAAAATTAGATACACTGCTTTTGAAAATGGATGTAATATCTCAGGAAAAAATATCACGATATATTGCCATATCGATATTTTAGAGACAGAGTTCGAGAATATCGATACAATATTACTGGGAAAATACATCGCGATATATTGTCATAATGATATTTTCTTACATCCCTTGTCTGCAGTGTACTTTGTGTACACTATGGTGTGTCTTAGCTCACCAGCTGCAGTTGAAGCATGTGGCCGTGTAGCACTTCCATTGTAATGCAATGCAGCAGTTTTCAATCTGAAAAGAAAGAATAAATAAATAAATAATAGCTTTTAGACAAAAATATAGATTTTATGTAAAAATTAATTAAAAGCATGTATTTAACTCATTATTGATTATCTGTCCTGGATAACATTCTTTTCATGGAGAATACAGAGCACGTGACAGAAAGCACATTGAATCTGATTTGTCTTGTTCTGACAAACAAATGTCAGATCTGTATACTGGAAAGAAATGTATTATCAAACATACTCACTTAGATAATTATTCAGTCAGAGTTACATCATAAAATCCATTCGTTTCACTGAAAAAGGAGCAGGCAGAACTATGAACTTGCTTAGCCCGTCCAAGTAACATGGAATAAAAAAATACATGTATCTGTATGTAAATGTAGTTTAAATGTCTTCCCACAATAACTCATGTAGATTCTGTCTGAGTTATACCATAAAAATCCTGCAGTTCCACTAAAAGAGTATTTACCTGCAAAACAGCCTGTTAGCTCAGCTTTCTGCTGCTTCCTCTGTAGCAAGTTAGCAGTACACAGGTTAGCTCCAGTAGCTGCAAAGTCTCTGATGTTCCACAGGTTCCTGAAAAATTAGCAAACTTATTAACATAAACTGCAATAATTAATTCCATGAACCCAGTAATGAATATGTTAAAATGAGTTTTTAATACGTCTCTCTGGAACAATAGTCCATTGTCCTGAGGCTAGCACAATGGCTTGCTTAGCAGCTAGCTAGTGAGCTAGCATCTGGTTAAAACCAACTTAAAAAGTGGCTTAACTTACAGATGAACTAAGAAAAGATAAAATATATTATCAATACTCACTTTAGATCCTCAGTAGACACCACAGACAGCAGAAATAACCTGTTTGGGGCTCAAAATTCATGTTGTTGACCAGGTGGGAAAAAAATGTCTTGGAGGCTACATCACTTCCAGGTCACTGAACTGTCACTCAAGAGAAACCACTGTCCTATGGGAGAGGACTTCTCAGAAGTCCCGCCCACCCGAAAGGGTTGTGTCAGAATTGCAACCAAAAACTCAGGGATTGCAAAGGAGAAAGCCAGACAGTGTAAGTGCAAATCTGGAAGTGAGAGCAAAGCTCTGAGCAGAGAGAACAAAACTAAGGAAATTGATAACAAAAACACATAGAGGCAAACAGAAAAAGGAAACATACTTTGTTACTCATTTTAAGAAGTTTATTCAGATAGTAAGTTTTACTTTTGAAACATGCTTTTTTCCTTTAGTCAATATTTTTGTTCTGTCAATTTCTTAATTTTTGTTTGACCGTCACAGTGATTTTCTTGATCATTTTAAGAATCTGATTCAGATCGTAAGTTTTTCTTTTGAAACCAAGGTTTTTTCTCTCAGTGTCTTAAAATTTGTTTGCTCTCCAAAGTGTTTTTCTTGATCCTATTGGCACAAATCTAATCCCATAAAAACGCTTCCGTCAATCCTGCGTGTCTGTCCCTGTTGGAGCTGACGGAGAAGCATGAACCAGGCTTTAGACAGCAACACACAGCTGTGATAGTTGGACGATGAGACCATATTTTTTGGTCACCACAAAATCAAAGAAAAGCCTGAAGTAAACGAGATGTTTCTGAAACCGGTTTGTGGTGAAAAATAAGTCCTTTATAGATTCAACACTTAAATATTGCAAAAGTGAACTGAGCTTTTATGAAAGAAAAAAGCCCTAAAGGCAAACTGTGTTTTATTGAAGCAAATTTGATATTAATCAGTTGATCAATTACATTATATATAATTCCAGACTTAGTAGTTGAGATTAAACTGTTAATTTCATACGGTAATTTCGAAATAGGATTTTAATCTTGTAGAAAATGCACAGCAACTTGGATTTTGAGCCTTTTTCTGGTTTCTTTTTCATATTTTCTCTCAAACATAACCTTATAAATTAATCATTAAAAAAAGCTACAGAGCCAAGCCAACTAAGCCTTTTTGGCAAAGCTTTAAAGGCAAATATTTCCATTTCCCTTTGCAAATGGTCCTTTATTCTGTCGTGTCATGGAACAACGAAGCTTGAGGAGTTGAGGATCAGAAGACATGTTCTGGTACTAGACGGTGATGTTTAATTCCTCAAGTTAATCTTGATGCATGAAAATGGCGCTGAGAGTTTTCCGACGATGCTCCGTTATACGACACATCCTGGATGGTCCCCAGCGCTAAGATAAAAGCAAGATCAAAGCATTCTCACACAAAAAGCCATGGATTGTAGGCAGAAATGAAGCCATCATCGTCGGTTGCTTTGGGTTCACAATGATAAATATGCTTGTAAACACCTGCAAACGGCAGGAGTTAAGGTCCGCCCTCTCTGCGGTTGTTGCTGCCATCAGTAACTTTGCTTCTTCAAATGTTTTTTCATACATTCATAAGCTGCTGCTGCTTTATCCAACTATAAAGCACGTTTTCTGCTACTCTTGTGAAATATATCATGCACCAAATGTTAGTGATGTTTAATGGGATGAAGTGGAATGAAGCTCAGAGAACGTACACCACACAGCGATGCTACTCCATGAAGACATTGTTCTCGATTAGAGGATCGAACATTTAAGGCATTTTTCATAGGTAGATAAATCGTGTCTGTTGATGGTGATGCAGCAAAGGGTTGAAAGTCCAAATCTAAAAATGTAACTATTCCAAATAAAAGCACAAAGCTTAGGAGCAAAATCAAACCCAGAATTCTTACACCAGGTCGTCTCTACTCAGCTCAACAGTACCAGCTGAAGATTCAACACTTCAGAAGATTCCTCGTCTTTCTAATCTTGTTGGAATATTTGGTGTTAAATGGACTGAATCATTTTCTCATGCAGAGACAAGTGGTTCCCGAGCATCTCGGCACGCAGAGTGCTTTATGAATTTCTGAGAATTAGACAAGCAACTGAAATAAAACAGGAGTAAAGGGAGCGTAGGCGTGGGTTTGAAAAGAGAGCTTCATCTGTGCTGCGAAAAGATGGCAGCGAGGAAAACTTTTGCTAAAAAAAAACAAGAGCGTGGAGGAAGAGGGGGAAGGGAGAGGGCGAAGGACAGGGAAGGGGGGTCCTGGGATGTGTGAGTGGATGCCGCCCGGACAGTTTGTGTTAAAATACGCTATCAGAGGCTGCCAATACACCACCTACACACCCACAGAAAAGCACACAAACACGTCTTACTCTCAGTGTGTGTGTGTGTGTGTGTGTGTGTGTGTGTGTGTGTGTGAGACACATTAATGAAAAGGGTGAGGAGAGAATGAAGACCACGAGGCCAGTTTGCAGGAACGCCTTCAGTAACAGAACTCAACCGGAATTGTATCACAATAATAAAAACACAATCACACTTTGTCAGAATCAGATTAACTCATTGACTCCCAATGACGACTAAAGTCATCATTTGCATGTTTTTACTGTGTGGGCGTCGGACGAGCCCCCACACCTTGAGATCAAACATCTCAGCTCTAAAGCCGATCTACATCCACATACGTCACACGTCACATGATCAGGAAGCAGAACATCCATGTGTTAGGAGATCGTTTTGGGCCTCTGCTGTAAAAAAAGTGAGGCGCGAACCGGAAAAGCTTCTGCCGATCACAATTCAACAACAGATTATGAATGAACGGATAACGCTCGAAACGCGCAGATTCTTCCTGATGTAAGAGGTGAGTCTCCGCTTTGTTTTGGTTGTTTTGGCGTCAACATCATCCTAGCGCGCAACGTTCTGTCACTCTTAAAAAAACTGTAAAAATGGCGAGAAACGCTGGCAGCGAAGGGCTTTAGCGATCTGGAAACAGCTGGCAGCGAATGAGTTAATGTAGACGATAGTGACCAGCAATGTGGCGGGACAGAACCAAATGGTACCAAAGGAACTTTCCGTTTCCATTTGAGAGATTGATCAATAGATCCTGGCGTAATTAAAAACATCCAAGCTGTTTGTGATGTTTGTCCAAGGAAGAGTTCTGGAGGTAACGGGTCAAAGACGGAAACACGTACACCCGTCTCACCAGTGATGCTCACCGGCTCGTCCCAAGGGCGTTCCTTTTCAGTGCAGCTTGACTTGACTCAGAACATTTCCACTAGAAACAAGTACCAGGTTTCCACCTTATTCCAAGCGTACCAAGCCGAGCCAAAAACAAAACAATGCACTGACGTTCATTGTCATGAGTCTACTGCCAACATGCTCAACCGAAGAAGGCACCAATCTGCTGCTACCGAGGTAAGCCATCATGACCTTGCCAGCATGGTTTTATGCAATGCTCATAGAATTTGATCGGCTATTGTGGTATTTGATTATTTTGCTCTTGCACCTACGCAGTGGGACTAAGGGTTAACCAGGTTCAAAGGCATTTCCACTAACGGGTACTAAGCGTACTGAGAAGCTTACCTCAGGAACAGTTTAGTGTCTTCTGTGTGACGTACAAATAAACACTAAAGTGTGTTATCAGTGTAGCGTACCAAATGATTTGATGCTTTTCATCAAAGATGACCAGAAGTTAACTTTTAACTTACAGGCCAAACTTCTTCATACAGATCATTCTGACACTGTGGTGCCGATATGAAGAGTTGTACTTGAGCCAATATTCTTAACTAACCCTGCGTACTGGGGCGACGGTGGCACAGGAGTTAAGTGCCCGCCCTGTAATCGGAAGGTTGCAGGTTCGAGCCCTGCTCAGTCTGTTGCTGTCGTTGTGTCCTTGGGCAAGACACTTAACCCAACTTGCCTGCTGGTGGTGGTCGGAGGGACCGGTGGCGCCTGTGATCGTCAGCCTTGCCTCTGTCAGTGCGCCCCAGGGCAGCTGTGGCTACATCGTAGCTCATCCCCACCAGTGTATGAATGTGTGTGAATGGGTGAAGGACTGATTGTGTTGTAAAGTGCCTTGGGGGGTTCCAGGACTCTAGAAGGCGCTATATCAAATACACGCCATTTACCATTTTACTGTCATGACTCTTCATGTTTTGTTGAATGAATAATTTGTTTAAATCCAAAGTGTTTGAATAATGTGTCCTATACTTTACATTAATGGATGATGAGTTAAATGGAATATTTTTCCTGTAATCATTAATTTCAGATCTTAAATTAAACCAGATTAGTATTTGTTGTTTTTAAGAATGAAATCTATCAGTATATTCACACCTCATAATATCATTATTAATGTTTAATATTTGCTTCACACTAAGAAATAACCTCTCTGAGTATCTGAAGGAAGGAGGGAATTCCTGAGGTATTTTGTTAACTCCTTTAAAATTAGTCAAATTCTGATTCGTCTAAATTTGTCAACAACAATTAATAAAAGGTTAGATCACGTCCTGGTCTAACAAGTTCTTCGCCAGCGTACTCAGTAGGCCGACAGGGTGAGCAAAGCACTTGGGACCATCTTTTTTGCAATGCTCTGCAACGCTTGTGAGTGGTTTCAGATGCTACAGCTCCTCAGACACGAAACGTCCAACTTGCAGACCCTGGTAGCATCTCATGGCCGGTGATATCCGAACTCAGAGGTAGCTGCGACTCTGAGATCCTAAACGCTTGATCGCCCTTCGTCACTTTGATCCTCTTCAGGTGAGAGAATGTGTTGGTTATCTTGTGCAACCATCATTTCATTCATACTTTGTCATGTTTAATCTTTAGTTTAGAAATATATAATTAAATACAATTTTATAACTATACTCTGTCTGAATTAATATTAAGTGTGTGTTACCTGTATAGTCCAATAACCTAAGGAAAACCATCCATCCCTTTTCATCCGCTTATCCGGAGTCGGGTGGCGGGGGCAGTAGCGCATTCGAGAGGCCCAGACTCCCCTCTCCCCAGCCACTTGGGCCAGCTCCTCCGGGGGAATCCCACGGCGTTCCCTGGCCAGGTGAGAGACATAGTCCCTCCACCGTGTCCTGGGTCTACCTTTAGGTCTCCTCCCGGTTGGACGTGCCCGGAAAACCTCACCAGGGAGGCGTCCAGGAGGCATCCTGACCAGATGCCCGAGCCATCTCAACTGGCTCCTCTCGATGTGGAGGAGCAGCGGGTCTACTCCGAGCCCCTCCCGAATGACCGAGCTTCTCACCCTATCTCTAAGGGTGAGCCCAGCCACTCTTCGGAGAAAACTCATTTCGACCGCTTGTATCCGCGATCTCGTTCTTTCGGTCATTACCCAAAGCTCATGACCATAGGTGAGGGTAGGAACGTAGATCGACCGGTAAATCGAGAGCTTCACCTTCTGACTCAGCTCTCTCTTCACCACGACAGACCGGTACAACTCCCGCATCACTGCAGATGCAGCACCAATCCGCCTATCGATCTCACGCTCCAGTTTTCCCTCACTCGTGAACAAGACCCCGAGATACTTAAACTCCTCCACCTGGGGCAGGACCTCATCCCTGACCCGGAGAAGGCATTCTGCCCTTTTCCGAATCAAGACCACGGTCTCAGATTTAGAGGAGCTGATTCTCATCC